CGGAGAAGGCAGAGGGAGGCACGCACTGTGCATGCTCGATGCCGTAACCTGCTGGCAGAAGGGGAGGGTCAGAAAGCAACCCAAACACAGGCAGCTCAAAGAAACCAGAGTGTTGCTCACTCCCCCTCCAGTCTCCCACAGCACAGCGAGATTTGAGGCCTGCAGTGCAAGAGGAGACAGTCTCTGGATCTAAAATACCTGGAACAACTGGGAATTAATTTTGAGTAAGGTTTCTAAAAGCTACAGGGAGATTGTGTCTTATAATTGCAGCAATTAAAAAAATAAGACATCCTCAACCACCATCAATGTGTATTATGCCAAGCTCCTCTCAAGCAAGCTGCTAGTGGGAAAAAGCTGGAAAATCACAAGGAGCTTAGTGTCAGCAAAGGAGATGATAGAGAGTAAAGAAGTTTCATTGATGATTGTAATAAAAGAGTCACTGCCACGGTCACCTCTCCTCACTGGCCACAGCCTGGAATCCCAGTTCAGGCGAGCTGGGTTTTTTGGCTGGTTCATGAAATACATCACAGATTTCAAATGCCCTTAAAGAACATCTCCAAACCAACAGCCCTGGGAAGTGCAGGAGTCTAGATTGATCACTCATCCCTTTCCTTGCTAGGTTCCTACCTAGTAATCCAGAATTCAGCCTTCTTCCCACATTCTCTCCCTTTTTTAACAAGTTTTTTAAAATTCCCAATGTTTTTGAGCGCTGAGGTCGCTTTTCAAGTCTGCTGAGCTCCAGCTTCACACAAATAGTGCTTGCAAAGTTAGCCTGGGGCATCTCAAGGCACTCACCAAAAAATACAGGTGGTTTTTAAATAAACCCAGAACACTAGGAAGGACAAAATCACACGCTTTGCATGCTCTGCCACGACAGAGCAACAACTGCATGGTGCAGTCCTCCTGTGACGCAGACAAATCTCTAATAGGTGGCACTTTCACGCCTGGAAGCACCAGAATGATACTGATAATTGAGACTTACTAATGAAGTAGTCTGAAGTATAGCGGGATTCTGGATATGTTGTATTCACTCCATTTGCTGGGTACGGTTTTACCTCTTCTGCAAAGAGAAAAGGAAGGAAATGTCACATGTCCATAGGCATTTCGTGCTTTGCAAGACTCGCTGTAATACAGAGAGGTCTGAACTTCCTAAAATGCTCCTCTCCAGGTTAAACTGGGCCGTCCAAAGGAACAGAAATCAGTCAGGAGCTGAAATCCCACCGAAACAAGGGCTTGATGCACTTGGGTTCCTTTGGGAATTCCTGCTCCAGGCATGCCCAAATTGAAACAAAACAAAACAGAACAGCAGCAACTTTCTCAATCAGAGGCTCCAGGTGGTTCTGAAACACTAATTGCATAATTTCCTTGCTTGCCTTAATTTTTGTTGTCTTTCATTCTCTTGAGCATTGCTTATCCTGCTTAAACGTATGAGCTCGTGAAAAAACCCCACCGCACAAGGACAGCTGTTTTCCTGAAAAAGCCCCTGTTTTCAGAGCAGCAGTGGGTGTGTGCAAGTGAGTGGGTAACGCATAGCAAAACCAGCTCCCACAATGCCAAATTAATGCTAATTCCCAGCCTACGCAGCACCTTTTACCTTACACCTGACGCAGGTAGAGGATCCCATGCTCAGAAAAGCTTTGTCACCTTGTCCATCACCCAAATCCTGATACAGACTCCACGGTGTATATACGGGCAGCACGCAAAATTTTAGCCTTTCTATAGGCATAAATCACTGAGTAAGAGCATATATCACACCAAAGCATAGATTCTCTGCTTTCCATTGCTTTTTCCAAGCACTTTGGTCTTCCTGGGCTTGGTGCCGAATTTGCTTTCTCGTGTAAAAGCCACATTGCTCCTACCCCGTCCAGTTTTTCCATTAACACCTTACTCATTCCAGCACGGCATGTGGGCAGAGATACCGGCATGGGAGGTTTTTTTTTTCTTTGCAGAGGGTAACCAAAACAAAAAAACACACAGGCAACTCCGGGTTATGTTTATTTCTGCTGAGGCTAAAGAGAAGCGAACCGAAGATAACGCACGTTCGCTTGCAAGGAGCCTAATTTTGGCCCTCTCTCCTGGGGATTGCAGGGTGGAAAATATTCTCTAACAAAAGGAGTTTTTGTGCAAACAGAGAGACCTAATGAGAAACGCTCTTTTCCTCTCCCCACGGTGTCTGCCAAGGGGCAGGGTGGGTGACCACAGAGAAAGAGAGCAACCTTCAGCTATGCTTACAGTCAAGTGGAGGGCACTGCTGACTGCTGGTAACTGAAGAGGCTATTTTCGGAAGAAATTGGGAAAAATATGCCTGAAAATACCCAAATCCATGCAGGGAAAAGTTGCCCATCTGCTGCCGTTTTTAAACCCCGAGCAGCCTGTGGTACGTGAGTCACTCGCAGCAAGCGCTCACAAGGGAGGCATGGCAGCTGAAGGGACAGCAAGGTCACCGACTGTCCCAGCACGACCCGAAGCCGGCGGTCGCACCGCTATAGGTAAAGCCAAACGTTTTTGGGGTTAACCACCGCTCCCAGCATCAACGTCCCCATGTGATGATGGTGGGTGGCTGGGGAAGGTGGAAGAGACAGGGACTGGCAAGTTGGACCCCGACTCCACGGGTGAGCCTGGGGAAACCTGGATCTCCTCACGCTTCGCATCGCCAGCTGCAAAGTGGAGACAACCATCTCCTCTCGCGTGGGGAGAGATGTGGAAGGGACAACTTCACACGTTGTATCTGCACAGCACAGGCACAACAGAACCCAGATCTTGTCAGGGGTTTGGAGATGTACTACCAGTAAGACAAGTCCCACGACTTACAGGGAACAGAAATTAGTCCTTAGGGTGAAGCTGGTTATTTCTTGGAAGCTCTTCTTTACTCTCTGCATACTTCATAGATATTGCCCTTCTGGGAAACATGTTAAGAACCCACCACAGAAGCTCAGGCTCAGATAGCTTATGCAAGAAGTGACAAAGTCACCAGTAAGACTGAACATAGAATGGAGATTTCCTGCTTCCCAGGGCTACGCCAGCAATGTTGAGACAAAGACCTTCAATTTTATTCTTTTTTTATCCCTTTGGAAGAAAAGCTGCAACAGGCACCAAGATTTCCAGCTTCTCTAGAAAAGCTCCTCTCTATCTCAGACCTTTTGCGCCCTCCTGACTGCAGTATCTGAACACCCTCGTGTGTCAACACTATAAGGAAACGTCACCCCTACCAAGCTTATCTTCCTACGTAGGGGAATCTGCGGGAAGGAGCTGCAAACCCAGCTCTGCTGCCTCGGTCAGGACCCGCAGCACATCGCACCCCTCTCCAGCGGGTGACAGCCCAGACAGATGCAGAAGGGTTGCGGGAAGGCAGAGCTGCGTTACAAGCGATGGCTTCTAGCAAGGAGAAACTGGACTGACCACAAGGTTTTGCTTTGTTTGGTTAAACTGCTTGCTGTTGATATAAGCACTCCATTCAAATGATGCAAAATGAGAAGAACAGAAGAGATTTAGAGTCAAAAGAGCAGAAAAACAGCCTGTCGTGCACAAACCCTGGGAAGAGCCGTGTTTACCTTTTGCAAACCACAGGTAGCAGTAAAATTAGCAATCAGCAATTAACATCCATTTGTCAATGGTTTCCTGGAAGGCATAACTTTGCTCCCCCTCCCCTTCCTGCCCTCCTGACAAGCACGCAGGGTTGGTATGACAGCACAAGGGATATTCCAGGAAAGCGAACGGCTCTGCCCAAAACCGAGCTGGAGACAGCACCCAGATTTTCTGCTGCGTCTGCTCAGGGCTCAGTTAAAGGTGTTCAGCTCTTCACCCGCTCTTTAGAAACCACGCCAGGTGAAGTGTCGCTTGAGTATCCAGACACTAAGAAAATCAACACCCAAAATCCATGTGTGTGTCCCCAGTCAATGAAAATTAATGCACTTAAACGCTGTCATGCAGGGACTGGCAGAGATGGGGTCTCCCATGGGGGACGCAGCCAGTCTCAACGAAATGCCATTATACCTTTTGGGACACGAAACAAAGAAAAGCGGCTTCCAATCGCAACTGGGAAATTAGGGTGGGATTTTGGACGTATTGTTGTACCCAGTTCTACCGGAGGAAGTAGTAAAAATCACAACAGGAGCTGAACGAGCTGAGGAAGAATGCTTTGGAAAATCCCACCGTCGTTTCCAGGCAGGCAGAGCATCCCTGCCCACTGTGGACTCCTGCCAAGCAGCCAGCACAAACACCCTTCCTCTTTCAAGCACTGCCAGGATTTGCATTGCCCACTACTGGTTGGGATGCCCATCTGAAATCCTGCTGGAAAGCTGGGCTTTGAAAGCTGCTTTTATCGGCACTAAAGCCCAAGGTGAACACCCCATTGCACAGCTAGGCTGCGAGCCAAGGTCTTTGGAAAGGCCCAAAATCAGGATGGTGTGATCCATTCACCCTGGAGACTTCGGGACTCACCTTTCTGCAAGATCTCCAGATGTTCCCAAAGGATATCTCCCACAAAATCAGGCGCTAGCTCCAGGAAGCACTCCTTGCCCAGAGCACAGAGGGCAGCTCCGTTCATGCAGAACTTCTGGAAATCCACTCCCTTCAGGCTAAACTCGTTCACCGCCCACATCACCCAGTCCCGCACGTGCGTCTCCGTCCACTGCTGGGGATCTGCAACAAGGGTGTGTAGAAGAGCTCCATTAATGCACAACCACAAGCCATTGCCCCAGAAAAACAGGACACAAACTGTGCTATAGTGCTCCCAGGAGATAAGCACCTCCCAAGCTTCATCCCATAGATAGTCCATTGGCATAAGGGTAAAGCGTGGTGCGGGAACACCATGCCTACAGTCTGGATCAGCCCTATTTCACACAAGGAACGAGCTTTGGATTTGTTTGGGACTTTTAACAACCCCACCAGTTCTCTGACCCCTTCTCCCACCCACTTCTCCACTTCACTCTGGTTTCTCCCTGTCATCAGCCTCTTGGAAAGGGTCCCCGCTGCTTCTTCGCATAGTGAAGATGACTTGTAAATAACAGCCCTGGAGCTGCCTCCAAAATGAGCAGGTCCCCAAAGCTGCAAGAGCAGCCATTCAGCAGAATTTAGCAAGGACAGACAACGCAATCTGTCAGACAGGTGTAGCCTGCAAGTGGTACTGAAAGGTTTTGCCTGTATGTCCACACTTTTCCAGCTGAAGCTCCCAAGAAATAAGGTGATACTGCCTGAAGAGAATCAACAAAAGAGATGGCAGACGTGGAGAAGGGCACCCTGGCAGGAGGACACGATGTTCTTGTCTGCCATAGCTGCTCACTGGGAAGCCATGTCTTACCTTTGGGGATTCCCAGCCGCTGCTGCTCTTTCGCGAAGCCGCTGAAGGTGGCTTTCAATGCCTGAGACATCATTTCTTTGCTGCTGGGAGTTAATAAAGGCACATCGGCACATTCCATATCTGAAAGGAGCAGGAGAGAAAAATGGCCATAAGGACATGGAACTGGGCAAGATGGCAGAAGTCCTCGTAATGCAGCAGACATTGAATTGTCAGAAAACCAGAGCAATCCATCTCACTTTTTTCTTCTGCAATTTTCACACCCAGACCTATAAATCCACACCCTGCAAGTCCATGAGCAGACTTCTTAAATACAAGAAAAATGAGTGTGCTCACAGGAAGCCTGTGTGTGCTTAAAGGGCACAGACAAGCCGTGTCTGGTAAGATGGGTTACATGGTGCACATGTACGAGCCAGCCATGAACGTGCTACCGGGAATTCGACGATGATATTAAAAAGCATTACAGTCAACAGCCTGCTGGGCTTCATCACCCCAGGTGGCATCTGGAGCCTGGGAGATAGCTGAGCAGCTCCAGATGCCACAGAATCACAGGATGGTAGGGGTTGGAAGGGACCTCTGTGGGTCACCCAGCCCAACCCTCTGCCCAAGCAGGGTCACTCAGAGCAGGCTGCACAGCACCGCGTCCAGGTGGGGCTGGAATATCTCCAGAGAAGGAGACTCCACAGCCTCCCTGGGCAGCCTGGGCCAGGGCTCCGTCACCCTCAGAGGGAAGAAGTTCTTCCTCGTGCCAGTGAAGGCAAAGAGTCCTACATCAAGGTGAAAAAGAAAGCAGGGAGAAAACCACCTCCAAAATACTCTGGGCATCATGGTCCAGAGAAAAGCAAAAGGAATAAAGAAATAATTTTCAAGAATGACGGGCAATCCTGGAAAAAGTAAGCTGACAGCAGGCTGAGGCAGGACGACGAAGCAGCAGAAAACCCACTCGAGGAGGGAGGGAAAACAAAGAGTTGGAAAATCCCACGTTAGCCCAGAGTTACGTCATGCGCAGCCCATGGCAGGGAGCGACGCGATTCGGGGTGAGTCACCGACCAACGCTCAGCTGCCCCCTGGGAGAGCGCGGGGCCAAGCCGAGAGCCGGGCCTTGGAGTAGGTCCTGACGAGAAGCAAAGCTCTTCCTTCCTTTTTGTTTTTTTTTTTTCCCTTTTTTCACTTTTTCTAATTTATTTGGAAGGAGGCGGATATTTGTAGCCAAATAGCTCTATAAACAAAAGCAACCGTTCAAAAAACCAGAAAACTCCTCGATCTGAATAAAGGATTGGCTCTTTTTCATAGGTTTTCAGCATTCCTGAAAAACATCCTTCGCGGGGAAGGAAAGCCTCATACAGCCACCGCCTCGAACGACTGAACTGTACTGGTCTCACACCAAAATCTTCCACCTGAGCCTGGTTCAGCACTGGAAATTATTCAATGAAAACTGCTCCCAGTGGAAAAATGACAACACACGCGAGGGGACCTTATAAATGCTGATAAATATCTGCAGGGTGGGTGTCAGGAGGATGGGGCCAAGCTCTTTTCAGTA